TTTGGGGGAATCTGTCTCTCTCTCTCTGTGTCATCCCGGAAGACTCATCACATTCTCGCCTTGAAGGAAGTTGAAGCGAACAGGTGCGTGAACACACAGCTCTTGTATTTGTGGTTCTCTTCTTTCTGAAAAATACATTTAAAATCCTGCATTTTTGAATATGAGCTGCAGCTTTATTTTTATTTCACTATCGCATTGCATTATAACAGATTTCCTTTTGTTTTTATTCAGATTAATAGTAGCCTAAATCCATTCATGGTTTCTCACTTGGGCTGTAACCAATTCCTACAGGTGGGGTTTTCAGTATCCTCAGAGCATTTGCTTATAGGCTCAACTGCACACATATTTCAGACGGTGATATTGGCTTGACAAACCTGTCCGAGAGAAAATCAGGGCGGTGGCATCGTTTGTTTTTCGTGTCTTGTCACACGATTTAATACCGTGCGCTTCGATCCCTTCTAATTGCGCCTGTTTTGACATCCTGACAGCTGTGTGTGCGTGTAATTTCGGAGCCAATCAAGCAGCCATGGACGCGTTAATGAAGGGTTTCTCTAAAGCCAAGGATGGGGTCGTGGCAGCGGCGGAGAAAACCAAGCAGGGAGTGACTGGAGCAGCTGAGATGACGAAAGATGGGGTTATGTATGTCGGTGGGTGCTGGGAATTAATTTGATTGATGATCATGTTACTAGAAAAATGGGACAGAGAGCTTTCAAACGACGCTTCATTATAATAATTATAACAATGATAATAATTAGGCTACACAACTCAGACTATTCAATAATGAATGAGGGCATGATAATCATTTGTGGGCTACTATAGCCTATATATTCATATCTTTGACTAACCTTCCCCTGCACCTCCTTTCAGGTACCAAAACAAAGGATGGAGTCACAACAGGTAACACCACATATTAATTCAGGCTTAAATGCATCTGTGCCATTTTCTTGTGTGACTGAAAAATATCAATATTGTATATCCCTTCATTAACACCAAAGCAAAACATTTTACACAGGTAGATCTATAAAAGCAAAAAGGGGTCATCACACTGAATCCTCAGGTGGTTTGTAAGAGAGATGTACTGTAACTCTGCAGGTGAGTTAGTGTCATATTTCACCGCTGTACTCAACAGAACCTGCCTATCTCCCCATGGGCCAAGCGTTGCCATTTCTCATATATAACAAGCAGAGAAGCCTGGGGAGACTTCCTGCTATATAGGCATCCAGGGAAATAATGTTGCATCCTATAGCTGCAAGGAAAGTGAGTGTTTGCAAGAGTATAACAGTAATGCATGGTCACAGAATGTCTTATGAAAGCCACTAAATGAGGGCCCAAGCGGCCTACATTAGACCTATGATCTGATAATCTGCTTTCCGGAGGTCCACATAGGCAGAGTTGATACCCTATAGCAAAGTGCAGCTTAGTTATGAGTAAGTATGTGTTACACTCTTGGACTCCATCACCATATGGTGCATAGCATTGGTTCCCTACCTTTTTGGCTTGTTGGCCCTTAAAGCCAAGTAACTGTGGTCCCATGTCACTGATTGTATATGTACCAGTTGTGACCAGTTCAACAAGAGGAGGATAAAAATGAACATTATTTGGTGAGGCCCTGATCCACATGTTGGGACCCACATCATGGTTCAGCAATGAGCGACCCTCAGTTGAGCAGTTGTTGTAAATGGACCTGCAGATGCATTTGTTATAGTCTGTCTATTTACTGACATTTGTAGCATTAATTTAAGAAGGAGGCCTCACTGAATTTTAAAAATGTATTTCCAACATACCTCTCCAAAACAGTTCAGAAGATGCAAAATTGCACAAAAATGCATTGTTCAGGTATATGGTGGTGAGACACTCAGTGAAGACTGAGGACATTTGGCCAAATGACAGGTGATGATCCTGCTTTAAATAATTCTATAGGGCGAATCAGGTGAAGCAGTAGAGCATTTAATAGTTATTTTACCCAACTCTGCATGTACAGTAATGCAGGCAGGGACACATTCAAACTACCACAATATCGTATAGCCTATTCAAGCAAAAATGCTATAATAAGACTGTGTAACTTTTGAAAGAAGAAATATCACAATCTTTCTCTTACAAATGAACTTAACAAATATCTATCTACAATTCAATGCATTTAATAAGGGTTGTGTGGCAGTAGAAACAAGCAGTGATAAATCAGTTGGTTTAATTACTGTAGTAATAACATCTGACAATTCTTACCTTCATGCATATGTTCATTTGACCACCATGTTGAAAGCTAATTATTGGATTTAGGTGACCTTATGATTGCTCCATTGTCACCTTCATCAGGTCAAACTAAGTAAAATCCTACACATAAAACAACACATAAAAGTAATAGGCAGTAGTCATTTCTTTTTCCTGTCAACATCTATCACTGACAACTGGAGGCCAGTCACTAAAGGGCAGCTCTAATCAAATTATATTCACCCGTGGCAACTTTGTAATCCAGTGTGTTTATGTATTTTTCTACATGTTAATCCTCTCAGGTATTGAGATGCTGTAGAGATATACACCCTCCTCACATGACCTCCTCGTCTCTTCGTCTTTTGTCCTTACAGTTGCAGGTAAAACTGTGTCTGGAGTGTCTCATATGGGTGGAGCCATGGTAACCGGGGTCACGGCTGTGGCCCATAAAACTGTGGAGGGTGCGGGCAATATTGCCGCTGCCACTGGATTGGTCAAGAAGGATCCAGCCAAACAAGTAAGAAAGACACTTTTTATTTAAATTTCAACTCAATTTTTTAAAGAAATACAAATAGTAAATCAATGGTGTTTTGACTTGTATACCAAAATGAAGAAATCTAAGTTCTAACCATTTATTTTTCTGCTGATGATAGCGCCTCCTACAGTGTGTTCTCCAGTGGGTGTGAATAGAGAGCAAAGTCCCTCGTCTCTAATTTTGTGTGAAAACCATTAAATGAACTACATCTCTGGTCTTGCACAATATATACATCACCAACATGTTAACGCTGTCAGGCTAGCTAATGTTCATTGCTTGCTTGCTACTAGCCAGGTAACTTAGCTATGTTCCACGCACAAATGTATCTTACCTGATGTGGGAGGAAGCGGAGACAAGTCGTCATCTGTCTATGGCTTCCTAGCATATCAGTCAACCAACGCCAGTAGGAATGCCCACCCAGAGGTTTTGTTGGAAAAACAAACATAATATCTGGAATATTATTATAGCTTAAAGTTTCCTTACATAAAAAGTTAGAATAATTCAAATTTATGTTCCACTTTAATGCTTGTTTGAATGATGAATGCTTGTACTTCTCCACAAACATATTGCTATACTGTTACACCCACCTGTAGAAATGGTAGTTTGCAGCACAGCACATCCCTCCATTTCATGACAGTGGCTGCCAGCTATAACTCTTCACTGTGTCAAAATGGCCTCCTGACCTTGAGTCGTTTGTCATCACTACTCATATCTGCTGTGTGTCTTTGTTCTCGGAAATGAAAGCCGTTACATATTGTTAGCTTTCCTGTATTGTTCATCAGTCAGTCTGGCCATCGTTTGTCCAAAGGAGGCAGAGGAGGAGGGAAAGGCGGTTTACTGTAGAAAATTGACTGCTGCGACACAAGTCAAATATGAAAAATGATTTTCTTTTCCGTTTTCACTGAGTTCTTTTATTCTATATTTTTTTATCACCTGTATCTTTCTATTTTATCTTGTCCTTCTCTCTAGCAAAAGTTTTGATAGCTGCTCATGAAGATTTTTGCAGATACAGCCAGGGCCATAGCTACTATTAGACAGTGAGGTCAAGTCTTTCAAGGCTTTAGCAAATATAAGGGGAGTTACATTCTACTCTTTAAAAAATCGCACAGGTCACAGATTAGGATGAATACATTATTTTTTAATTTAATATTGTATAGAGCCTTACAAAATATTCACTTTTTATCAGTCAAAAAAACGATGTGGAGCACCAATTGTTTAGATATTGGCGCATGTGGTTCATTTTTATACATGATATAGGCACCTGTGCTGGAGATATTTCACATGTGAAAACATTCTTCACATGTAATAGCTTACCACATATGCAACATTGTTTCCTTGATAAATTGGGGGGGTTTTTTCATGTGAAACAGCATTTCACAAGTCATCATTTGTACATGTGGTTTTTGACATGAATTCATGAATTTCACATGTTCTTTTTGTGCGGGTAAATTTGACCACTTTTAGACCAACAAAAACAACTAATCAAATTAATAATAATAATAATAATAATAATAATAATAATAATTTCTCTAATTTACATTCAATATAACTGAACATTGAACACAAGTAAATACAATTAAAAGCTCAAATAATGTGCAGTGGGGGAAGTTCGTCTCTCTTCTTGGTATTTCTTGAATTTTCTTTTTGACTGTACATACAAAAATCACTTTAAAGGCTATGGAGCAGTGTTTTCACAAGAGGGTCCCTGTTTTCTTTGTTTCTCCTGCACATGCTGTGGGACACAGGTGGCGTAATACACACTCTTGTCGATCGTTTTGCACTAATATACTGATTAACAACTGGTGCTAAAAGTAAACATGGTCAAAACAGTGCACATTTAAAACATTTTTTTTAAATTTCATGATATAGGGCATTCAACGCGTTACTTGCACACAGTGATACAGTGGGTTTTGGTGAGAAACACTGAATGTAAAAGTTTTTTTTGTAGGACACCTTTATTTACAATGTGCACAAGATCCCCAGTGTAAATCTTTACATTTTCACTTTTAAACCAGTTTAGAGCAGAAACTCTTTCTTCAAAGAAGACAAACTTTACAAGAGGAACAGATGGCCCTCCTGTTCATGCTCTGCTTTTTTTAAACACTGATAAACTGTTATTCTTTTGTTGTCATACCATCGCAGTTACACTTCATGGTTTATTTCTGGATTAATAATGTGTTGAATTGGATGTAATTCTGAAAGGAGGACTTCATTTGCCTGTAATTACCCTCATTCCTCATTACATGTTAAACAATGCTGTGAGTGGCAGAAAATTATAAACCAAATCAAATATTTCCCTGAGCAATGCAAACACTTTGTTGAATGTTTGTTGTGATGCTCAATCTCCTGTCCCTTAATTAGCGAGGAAACACAGGGGAATCCATAACAATTTAGACACTAAGAGATAAACAGCACAGGCACACATGCACACACATTTCTTCAGCTATGCTTTAATTGGCCGCAATTAATGAAAAGTACCCCATAAAAAGATAAGATACCAAATAATTTTTTTTCTCCCAGTGGCAACAACTGACACCTAAACAAAATGTTTTTAGCAGTTCTTTTAATGAGGCAGTCATCTTTTTAAAATCCACTACTTTCATCCCATGTATTTGATTTCATTATTAAAAGATGCTTGTGGTATTTCACACAAACATCCAACTGTCCTTTAATCTTCGGTGGCAGTTGTGTTATTAAGGCAGCTAGATAGCTAATCATGGTATTCACCCAGGGGGATAAAACACTGATGGAGCTCCACCTGGAATGTGATCAGCCTCATTATGAGGAATGTTGACAAGCCAAACTGGCAGGAAGAACAGACAAACAGATGGACAAACAGACGCAGAGTGGACTGACTGATGGAGAGATTGTGGACTGACTGACAGCGGAATAAACAGAGACACAGAGATTAAAAATAAAAAAAATAAAATGCTGGTATTTCCAGTGAGAGATTGACATGCAGACGGCAGCAGATTGTCCTCATTTAACCATCATTCCCAGGCGGCACAGCCATTTAACATCATTAATATTGATTTCATTTAAAAATTCATGCCAGGTTGAGAGAGCCCATCAAAGATTGTCTCCTGCGTCGGACACACACACACACACACACACACACACACACACACACACACACACACACACACACACACCAGCAAACAGAGGGTGGTGGGATACTGAGTCTGATTAATCTCCTCATAGTTGTTTCATCAATTCATCAGCTGCTGGTGACTCATCAGGACACACAAAAGCCTGAAAGGTAGAAGGAGAGGGAAATGACAATGAGAAGAGCAGGCAGAGTGGTGGGGGGAGCTGAGGAGGATACAGGACAGGAAATAGAAAATGGTCTCAACAAACACGTCTTATTGCTCAGATCTTTTTAGCAACATGCACTAAAAGGATGCTGCATTTCACAGGGAGCGATTGGGAAGCGATTTCTGCTTGAATGCTGCAATGAAACAATACGGAGATTGTAGGTGAGGTATTACTCAAAGATTTTCTTCAGAAGATTATGGTTTACACAGATATTTCAGGTTTGATTTGTCCTCAAAAGTGAACAAATCTTTAACTTTTGGCCAAAGTTTAATCTGATCACAGTAAAAAGACAAGGCAGTGTTTATTGGCAAACTGAAGTCTGAATGTGTGTTTGTGTGTGGGTTTACACGAGTTTCACGTTTCACCAGCTCATCTGGGTGAACAGATGGAAGCTTGATGGGTGGTGTTAAATGCAACAGCAGGCGAAGAAGGTGCAAAATCTGGTTTAAGGTTATGTCAGCCGCCGGTGAGCGCGCCACATACACATGCACATGTCAGTGCACTGTGAATGCTCCCCATTAAGGAAGGTCAGTTCAATGGTACGGTATAATCAAGGCACCTTTTCAGCTAGACAGACCTGCCCCCACCCCCGCGCTACATGCCTCATTTAAAAGACAAAATAATTTTTTTGCTTCAGACACATAGAGGTGTATTAGTGGGACAATGTAATTTATCAGTGTCTTCCAAAACTGTTACAAACCACAGCTGCAGAAGTAAGACCATTTTCTGATCTAACACAGGTATGAACAAGGTTTGGTTTTGTTTGGTCACACATAAAGTTTTATGTTTGCTTGACCCAACTACCACAACCTCTTTCCTCCCTCTGTGGACTTTATAACAATATCACACTATTTTCTCATTTGCTCCCCGCAAACATTAGGAATGACTCCTACTGCCGCTTGAGGGCCTTGTCACTTGAACATAAACAAAGCTATGTGCAAGGTGTTGGAAGGGCAATTACAAGTGGTACTAAAAACAAGAGGAACTATTGCCCTCTAGAGTCTATTTAAATACATTCACAAGCTTTCAGTCATAGACTTTCCTCAGGTATACGAGGCAAACAGAATGCAAGCCTAAGTGTGAAATATCTGTGTATTTCGAAACAATCACATGATGTCTTACTTATTGTAAGTCACCATTACATTTGGAAATGGAGGTACGAGCCAAGAATAGTTCTGTACTTACTGGTACACTTTTGAAGAACGTTCCATCAAACGTACAATATTGATATTTAAAAGGCCAAAAGTGCACCTTTTGACTTACAGAAAGGGTACAATGCGATCTAAAACAAAGGGTACCTCCCCCAGCGACAAGCATTTGTACCCTTTTAAGTACAAACATGTACTATTTCTTAGTGTGTTGGGCAAAAGCGCCTGCCAAATAAATGTAATGCAATTAAATAAACTGTGAAGACTAGTGTGCAGAAGTTTCTCTTCTTTTTTGTTGGTCTTTTCATGTCATTGAGAGACCATTGAGAGAATAAAGATCATGCCTATAGATGACACATTAAACCTAGTTTAGTTTGAAATTGCGTCTGCGTCTGTAATAGCAAAAAGAAGAATGGAGAAGAGTGAAAGAAAAAGTGAATGAATTTTATATGATCAAAATATTGGCACTTAATGGCACCAGACCAAGGTAGCAGCTGCCTTTTAGGGTTCTTCATTCCTGTATTTGCCGGTATTTGTACACATATTGAATTTTTTCACTTCTCTGCATTCAACGGCCCTCCTTCTTTCTTGCATTCTCTATTTATACATTAAGCATACAGTAACTCCTGCAAGATCATGCATACATCAAAGTGGATCATACTATTTATTATATTTTGTCTTTCTCCAGGGTGATGAAGCCTCAGCAGTACAGAACGTGGCAGAGTCACCGGTTGATACTGACCCTGCCGATGCTACAGAGGTGAGACTCTACTTGCAACTGGTCGACATAAAACCTAGATTGAATAATGTGAAGCTGCATTTCAGAGTTAAAGAAGGAACAGCTGATGGATAGATAAACGGCTGAAGAGCCTTAAATTCAAAACCCATAGTGAGAGTGAACAAATTACACCATTGCTTCTTAAGGTGATGCTTGGAAGCAGTTTATGGACCTTAAGACATTAACACTAATCTTTAAATAATATTAAAATATTTCATTTAAAGGTTTGTGTATTTTATGGCATTTGTGGATGTTTTCCATCCTTAAAGCTGACATTACACAGGCAACATTTAAGTTTGGATTGTCTCCCAAACCTGTTTAATAATATTCTAAAACTGAAAAACAAAAACCAAGCAATACTTGACATAAATCTTAACGGGTGCTGTAACATTACCCCAACTGGTGTGTAGAGTCCCTGATATATGATTTCATTATGCCATATGCTGATGTTGCATCTAAGGTACATTTACATACAGGACAGTAAATTCATTTCCTCTTCTCTCTCAGGAGGACACCGATGACTAAACTGAACGGGAGCTTCGCAATCAAAAATCAATGACCTAAATATTCCATGTCGCTCTGCCAAGTCCAGTTGTGCCTCGTTTTTGGTCCTTTATGGAGTCTGTGCCCAACGTCTGTGTGTGTCTATGTGTGTGTGTGTGTGTGTGTGTGTGTGTGTTTCTGTTTGTGGTGTTATGTATGTCTGTACCGCTGTAAATGTGTAAATGTTGTAAAAGAAAGAGAATTGTTGTTTGTGTGTGTACGTGCGCGTGTGTGTGTGTGGCGTGTGTATATGAATGCGTGTGCCTTTTACACACAGGTCCTGAAAGGGACCTCAGGTGTGTGCCGTGCTCGACCAGCTGTCATTTACAGTGACTCCCTGCGTGTGTGTGTGTGTGTGTGTGTGTGTGTGTTTGTGTGTGTTTGTGTGTGTTTGTGTATGTTTTCTGTCTAACTGTGTGGCAATGTCAGTAACTCAAACATGGAAATTTACTACAATTGACCACTTCAAGCACCTAAGTGTCTCTATATAAATGAAGAATTTACAGTGATCTGTTTGAAATGGAAGCATAATGATATTCTCTATTTTTGTCTGTATACTGTCACTGTTTTTTGCGGTGGACTATAAAGTGCTGAGCTATTTGTGCATTCATACTGTATTTTTTAAGTTATCACTGCTGTAACGAATATATCTCATATTGAATGGACTTTTGAAAAACCAAGAGCATGTAAAACTACTCAGCTTAACCGCTGTGATATGACTTGATATGGAGTTAAGTGTTGAATAAAATAAGCAAAAAGTGTGCTGCTGCTGAAGTTTGGTTCACTTATCTGTATGTTGCTGTGTGGGGTCACTAATGTTTTTTTTTCTAGAGTCCAGATAAATATAAGTGAGTCCCTGTGATTATTTATCTGAGGATATGAATGGGATGCAGAGATCAGATAATCAGTATCATAGATAAAGCTTTCCTAAATAAGCTATTTTCTGACTAAATAAGAATATAAAAAATTTGCATCCACACCACAGAAATAGGCAAACATACACTTTGGTATATGATAACGTTGCCTGTTACCTTCTACTGCAGAAACTCCTTTGGATCCTCACACTCTCCCATGTATAAATATTTTCATTTTCACATGTAACATCGAATGACATGTTTCACGTGACTCAAATGAAAAGAGGGCATAATGTTGCCTCTCGGGGTGGGAACATCCTTTCAGGATGGAGAGCCACATGGGGCAAGATAAATATGACTATCTAACAACCTTAATTAAAATAACATGTTGGAAAAAATACAAGTATGTGCATGAATCTGTGAAGAAGCACAATTGATGGTTTACCACGATGGTTGGCCCCTAAGGACAATTCACATGCAAAAGCAATAATCACATACGGAAATGCGGTGCTAAAAAAGAAATCGCTGCAAAAGAAAAAACACAAGGAGAAAACTCCAATAATACTTCATAAACTGTAGGTATGTGTTTTAGTATTTGTTACATTTCTCTATATGTTTGCATTTTGACTTTTGCATATGTTTTACAATCTGAAGCATTTTTGGATTTAGAGTGCATTTCCTGAATGTTTGTTTGTTGCTTTTGTATGTGTTATGTCCTCAGAGGCCGCCGTATTAAAGGCATGTTTTAATCTATACATACTCCTAAAATGTGTCTTTCTATCTTTTGCCTCAAGCAAATGAATATTGTGCAGTAAAGCTTCTTCTTAAAGGACAACATCATGCTCTTCGATGGTAGAGTAATATGATCAAAAATTATGAGCCTTTTCATTGATTTAAAACAATAGATTTAATTATTTCATTTTAATAAAGGCCGCAGAAACATTTTATTATGTAAACATTTCATGGGTTTGATCGGTGTTTAGGGGTTAGTGAGCTCGATAGAGAGGGAGAGTGGATCCCACAATCAAATTTGAGAGGCAGTTCTGTTAGTTTCATCTATCTGTTGTATTTTTTTTGCTTGAAAACATGACCCTCTTCATGTGTACACATAATTATCATAAATCAGATTACCCATGATGAATTTACATGTTGTTTATTTCACATGCTGTGTGTATTTTAATGTTAAAATTGAAAGTTGACACTTTTGATAATACACCCACAGTCAGGTGACACCAGTGTGAGCTTCAGCGTCGTATACAGTCGTAGTATATAATGCATAAACATTACTTTTCAATAATTTGTAAAAAGTTTGAATATCTTCATTTCAATACAAAACTTTACATTGTACAATAATTTTTCACACTGTGTATTGAAATGTCTTAATATTTATGGATAAGTCAATCTACAGTTGACCTCAACACATCCCTTCCATTAAAGTTCAAACTGATTTCCAAGAATTCCCATTTTAAAATGGCATGTTTTGATTTGGATTAATCTTATGTGTTTAACATTGCAAGCAATTTACCCTGTAAATACAAATAAATTATTGCAACGCCTGAACTCATGTCAAGACATCTTATCCCTCACGAGAAAAAACATCCAGCAGCAATGACGTGTGTGGTAGCCTGTGTTTGTGTGTACGTTAAAGCATGTGTTGGCTAGTTGTGAAACAATCTCTGGGGGACAACAGAGGACAACATGTGCCTAAGCACCACTGACAGGTTGCTGTTTTAAGGATTTAGTCATTTCAGGATTAATGAGACGTACTGTTATTTTTGGTACACTTTCATCAGAGGAAAGCATGTTTATTTGACATTTGGTTTAAAGGAAGCAATAATCCTTCCTGTAACACCAGTTTGTTATTATAATAAAGCATGTTAGCGCTTGACGCGTCCATCTACAGCTGCAGTTCATCTTTAACTACATTTAAAAATACGTGTACATCACTTTTTCACTGTTTACATCAAGATCAGTAATCCCAAGAAAACAGAGTCATTTGTTAATTCTCAAAATTTCACTTCCGTTTCTCACTAATGAATCCTGCAGAGGCCTATACTTGTATGCACCATCACTTGTTATTGTCCATACCTGTCAACTGCTATTTCCTGGGACCTCCCCGCAGACTCTTTAAGTAGCCGATGACTCCTTGTTGTTATTATTCATCACAGCTCCATGCGGAGGCAGGTACTGTGACAACAACTTGACGTTTATGTTTCGTATTTTTGCTTATTTCATGACTCAGACTTTATATTTTGGCCAGCCCCATGAGGACCTATTTATGTGGAGAAAGCAACATCTTTTTGGAAGAATTAATAGTTTTGGTGTCCAGGAATTGGCCCATCACACCAACACTAACGTGGCATTTCACCTTTACTGAAATGTACACTAATTGTATTTCCTCTGCATCACATAAATCACTTCAATACACTGCGTTAACGGCCTGTAACTTTAAGTTGCACTGGAAACTCAGCACATGATGCGTTTGTTTTATAATATCATCTGCTCTATCACTTTTGGGGTGAGTGGAAAATAACAGCCATACATGCTTTGATCACTTTCACTTGGATAGCACTCAAGCGCTAATGTCCATTAATGACTATTATAATGCTATAATTCTCTGGAAGACTATCACGATCCAGTTATAATTCAATATGTGTATGTAGTCTTCAAGGGAGAGAACTGATGGGGGTGTCTTCTTTGCAATTGGCGTGGACACTCAGAGATAATTGGCAGCATGCAAACAAGAAGGTGGAAAAATGTCAGAGTTGACCCTTCTCTAGGAAGTGGTCTTAGAGAAGGGTCAACTGGCATTCTTTTTCTGGTTTCATACAGCTCAAAATGTATCCACATCATCCCTTCTTTCCTCACACATCCCTGCTATCCTTCAACAACTGTGTGGCTGTGGTTTACTTCTCATTTATGAAATAAAACTAAAGACGCCCACTGAACAATCCAAACGTTTTATGTTAGAGAACTGACAGTCATGTAAAATTACTGTTTAATTTGTGAATGTGCACAGAATGTTTGATTCCACTGTGTAAAAGTCACAGGCTTTGCATGACCAAGCCCTTTTCTACCAAAGCACTTGACTTTGAAATTATTTCATGGTGGCAATAACCCAGACCTTCCTTTGCTGGGCTTGACTGTAAAATAATGTGCAAAATAAGAGAACAGAAAGATACTGTGATTTTTTTTTTCTTGTATTGAAGCACATCACACTGATGGATTGTGTGTGTGTGTGTGTGTGTGTGTGTGTGTGTGTGGAGGGGGGGGGCAAACCAAATATTCACTGCTGCGTTGACTGACACTTCCAACAACAGTATCCGAGTGTCACATCAAACGCCTACATCAGAATGTTTGACAACTTGGTGTGCATTTGTGACAGCTCAAACTGTATAAAATGTGTGTTGCGACAAGGACGTTGACTTAATCTTATCTCACGATTAAAAAAAAATAAAGTACAAAACAGTTCCCAGTTCCACAAATGTCAACCTTATTCAGGTTTGTTATCCACAGCTGGATGTGAGATGTCCATTTGACAGGGAACAGATGACGGAGAGAAGCGATGAAGACTGAGATTCTGTATTTCACTTCCTCTTCCTCCTCTTCAGAGCCTTCCACTCTCCCTCCTGAGAGGCCAAACTGCCAAAGAGCTCCTTCACTTTCCTCTTTCTCTCTGCATCTCTGAAACACAGAACGCGTAAATAGTTAGAGGCTTTTACTAACAGAAGCATTTCTCTGAGACATTATGGTTTGACACTGTGAGTTATCCACACCTGTTCATGACCTCGTTGAGCTTCTCTCTGGCCAGGAAGCGCGAGTCCTTCCTGATCTCCCTCAGAGCGCCCTTGAACTCCTTCTTGTACTTGTGCTTCAATCGCTCCTTCTCTCTCTCCTCTCTGCTGCTGCCGCGCTTCTTTCCATAGTCCAACCTGACAAATATTAAAGAAGCAAATGAGTTATTAAAAAGAGATCCCAGCAACTCTGCATGCTTTATCGCCGCTTCTGGATGGGGACATTTATTTCAACATCAATAAAAACACATTTCTGTATTCACTAGATTACCACTTACACTTCAACAATCTTGGGTGTGAGCAGCTTCAGAGGAACAGGCTTCTTCTTCTCTAAAACCAGCCGACTGTGAGTCACAGGAGCCCTGCTGATGGTCTCCAGGATCTCAGTGTGAAGCTCCTGCAACAAGACGACAAAAAGTAATAAAGAAAACTTTCAGAGAGAAAAAGAGAGAGAGACCTCGCTGTATCATCTAAACCCCGCCCCTTGGCACCAACCTGTAAACACTCTGGTAATGTCTGGGCCGAAAGATGTTTGGAAAGCAGCGTTCTGATTGGCTGGAAGATGTATGTGAAGGACACAAGGTCTTTGTAGAGCAGGCAGCACCGCTTCACTACGTCCAGGCAAGTGGACAGACACATCAACCTACGGAGAAAAACATAAAATTGGATGAACATCTCATTTTTATTTTTGCTAATGGTCCTCAGCCTCCCTACAGCTGACCTCAACTACACAGGCATCACACCCATAGCACTCACCGTAACACCACATCTACCACCCCCTCAATCTAGTCTTCACCATACTTCGGTGGGCCGTTTGGCAGGAGTGTCATCCTTTCTGCCCAAATTTAAAAAATACCTCGCTGAACACAATGTAGAGATGTGTGTATGTAAAGGTGAGCATGCATGTAAGTATATGTTCGTTTATGTGGGGCATGAATGTAAACCCTATAAAAAGAACAAATGTCTAATGTGACTTTCTCCCCCCTCACCTGTACACAACATCCTTCCGCAACTCTATCATGTCATTTCTCACTGAAAAAATTTAAAACATCCACCAGCACCTTGGATCTACTCCTCACCTCAGTATCTCAACCGACTCTCACACATTCACAC